ATTATTATTATTATTATTATTATTATTATTATTATTATTATTATTATTATACACACATAAAATGGAGATTTGCAATTAGGTTGGGGGGCAGAAGGGACCCCCTTTCCACACCACCTTAGAATAGAATAGAAGCTGGAAGAGACCTTGGAGGTCTTCTAGTCCACCCCCGCCCCACTCAAGCAGAATAAATAAAAGAAGAATTAACAGAATAACAGAGGGGGAAGTGACCCGGGGACACTGCAGCCGTCAGAAATACGAATCTGTTGGCGAGCGTCTGAATTTTGATCCTATGACCATGGGGGAGACTGCTTTGGTCGTTAAGCGTGAACGGTGGTCCCAAGTCATTTTTTTTCTTCAGTGCCGTTGTAACTTGGAACGGCCACGAAGTGAAATGTTGTAAATCAAGGACTACCTGTGTTTATTGAACTGAAAAACTTTAAAACTTTACAACTTACTTAAAATCTACTTCACACTTGCTTCAAACTTTAAAACTTACTTCAAACTGACTTCAAACTTTAAAACTTACTTCAAACTGACTTCAAACTTTAAAACTTTCTCAAAACTTACAAACTTCAAAACTTCAAAAAACTTAAAAACTTTTTAAAATTTAAAAACTCTAAAACTTTTTAAAACTCTTTAAAACTGACTTAAAACTTTAAAACTGACTTAAAACTTTAAAACTGACGTGAAATTTTAAAACTGACTTAAAACTTTAAACCTTTAAAACAACTCCAAAAACTCTTTAAAACTTTTAAAAACTTTTTAAAAAGTTTTAAAAACTTTTTAAAACTTTAAAAAACCTATCATTAGAGATTATTCCCCAATAATTAGGACGGTTTGAAGCATTTCCCCCTCAAAGGACTTTGGGAATTAGACCCACCGTTTGCAGGCTGGGCATTTCGGTCTGCAGGAGGCTCCGCAGCTGGTTTTTGCTCAGCGTGTTGCGGTCCCCTTCCTTCCGGCAGTAGCGTTGGAAGGTGCACACGACCTCCCCAAGAGCCTGCTCCAACGTCTGGAATCGCGTCATCACTGCAGCACGGGGGTCCTGCGGGAAACAAGGAAACAGTCTTCCGCTAAACGACCATTTGCCTAGCGACCGTCTGAAGTTACGATGGCGCTGAAAGCAGCGGCTTAGGCCCAGTTCTCGCGCTCCTCTCAGCATCCCTCCTGTCACACGCTCGAAATCCTTGTATTTTTGATGGTCGCGGGAGTCATGTGTTCACCGTTTGCAGCCTTCCAGCAGAGTCAACAGGGGAAGCTGGATTCGCTTAATGACTGTATGGTTCACTTAACAGCTGCAGTCGTTTGCTTACCACAACCGTGAGGGGGGAAAGGCCTTAAAATCTGGGGTGATTCACTTCACAATCCACCTGCAGCCAAAATTCTGGTCCCAATTGTCGTAAGTCAAGGACTACCCCAAACTGTAAACAAACTATAAACTAAACTGCAAAGTGTAAACTTAAAACAAGTTTAAAACAAACTTGAACTTAAAACTTACTTAAAACTATAAGCTTAAACTTAAAACTGTAAACTTAAAATTTAAAACTTAAAACTTTCTGCAGCAACTCAGCTTTGGTGAATACAATTTTTTTTGTCCCTTGTTGTATTGTTCCAGTAAATAAATAAGGACAGCCTTGGCTTTGCCAGGAGGTTTAAAATCCACAAAAACCTCTTGTGGTTTATTTATTTACTAGGTTTTTATATCTCCCCTTCCTCCAAGGAATCCCCATCAAATCAAACAAGTCCAAACAGATCAGAAAATCGGCGTAATAAATCCAACCCTGGGAAGTAAAAAACACTTTTAAAGAAGACAAATTTCACCTTTAAGGCATTGTGAATTTCGTTTTGATTCCTGCCAATCCGCCCTTTTAATCCTTCCAGATAAAAATTCTGAATTCTGCTTTTTTTCTGCCAATCTTGAAGAGCCGACTTTGGTCAAAAAAGGACGTTGTGGAATTTGCATTCTGGACAGCCGCTTCCAGAACGGCCTCGCCAAAAAGGACGTTTAAATTCATTTTACCTCGCAGTTTTGAATGCAAGCCGCCCAATTCCAGGAAGAACCCAAACGTTTCGGATATTTAAAATAAATAAATACAGGAGCTTGCTTTCCTTGTAGTACAAACTGCCAGATTGTGATTTCTGGAAAACTACACAACACTTAAATTTTTTGTTTTGTTTTCGGTTTTCAAGGTTGCTTTGTTTATTTTGGATTCTTTTTTTTTTTTTTGCCTTCCTCTCTGCAAAAAAGTAAAAAATAAAAACTGGCACGCTCTTCAGAGGGCAACCATCCATAGCCTTAGTTTCTCCCCGCCCAATCCTTTTTGAACAAAATAATAATAATAATAATAATAATAATAATAATAATAATAATAATAATAATTTATATACATGTACCAACTGGCTCGTCCACTTGAAGGGTATTCACCGCGGTGAATTCATCAAGAAAGGCAGAATGAAAACAGGAAGAATTCCAGCCGGTGGTGGTTGGTGGCTTCTTCACCTGTTTTGTCGAGTGTGTAAGCAGGTTCCGGCAAATATGCACAACGATCTATCTATCATTTTTGACACACCCTGTCTTGGAGACACCTGGCGTTTATCTCGCACTCTGAAAACGCCGAGCTGGGCTGCACGGCGAGTCCTCGACTTAACGACGGCGCTCGGGAGCGGGATTTTCAGTTGCTAAGCGATGCGACGCTTAAGGGACGGAGCCAGATAGGGGCGGGGCTGACATTGAAACCATTTTGGCCGTGGTGGTTAAGTGAATTATGGTCACTAAGCAAATCACATGGTTGTTAAATGAATCCGGCTTCCCCTCCCCGCCCGACCTTGTTGGTTTGGCTAGACAGAGGCCAGTTCCAAAGGTCGCGAAATAGGAATGATGTAACTCCGGGATGCTGGTACTGTCATATAAATACGTGACAGTTGCTAAACAGCTTGAATTTTGAACACTACGAGGTTGTAAGTGCAAGGAAACGATAGTAAATACCATTTTTAAGTGGTGGTGTCTGCTCGTTTTTTGTTTTAAAGGCCCAATTTTATCCATTGTCACTTCATTTTTTATCCATCATCAATTTTATCGATCATCAATCATTATCCATCATCAATTTTTATCCAACTTCATTTTTATCCATCATTTTTTATTGAACATCAAATGTATCGATCATCAATTTTTATCCATCTTCATTTTTATCCATCACAATTTTTATTGATCATCAATTTTTATCCATCATCCACTTTTATCCATCATCAATTTTTAATTGATCATCAATTTTATCCATCATCGCTACATTTTGCAAAACGGCCATAGTAGAGATTCATTTCCAAACTCGTTAACCAAAGATGGGTTGCGATCGACAAGCGTTGT